CCTAAGCCCCGAGGATCTAAAATTGGGAATTTAATTCGCTCTCGGAGGATTCGTGGGGCATCAACGGAGTTCTATGTAGAATGCCTGGAATCAGCTGTTTCAAGAGGATATCTTTCCGGAGAGGTGAAGCAGAGGGGACGGGGGACCTACTGTGTGTTTGGTGTGTTGCTGCTGCTGCGTCTGCTACTGCTGTGATACACGCTGTGATATCACTACGCTTTCAATACGTGCTCGGCTCTTATTGTCATTATAATTCATGCTTAGAATATTGAGCAGTAATGGCTTTTGTTTCGTTTATGAATCTTGTTTAAGCTCGGCAACATAAATCTTGAAACTGTATCTCCTGTAGTTCTTGCTTTGTGCTTCTAGTTGTTGACTCTACAGTGCATGGTGTCAGGCTGTATACATGCCATATCTTGATTACATTAGAGAGTATTCTTCTATTTGGTTTCGTTTATACATCGTGATCACAGTATTGGACTTTATTTACACCATTGCTTCTACTGTAAATCACGTCTGAAGTTGTTGAACATCTCACATAACGCGTGTCCTAGTTATCTCCCACGCTGCATGCAAGCCACTTGTTCTATTTAGTTATTTTTGCTTAAGTCGTGTTGTACATTTGTTTAACTTAAAATAGATAAACATGGGGAAATATTTGTTCTCTCTAAACTGCTGAATATTTAAAAGATTTTATTTTCCGAAATCCAAATTTCAACTTGGACACAGACACATTGTGATACATGGGGTTATAGTTTGTCATCCTGTTGAACATAATAATTGTACTTTTATCTTTCTACATCTTCACTAAGTTTGTATCATCATCTAAATTTGGGTTGCCTATATTTTGTGTTGTTTTAGTTTGTCGTTATACTTGTTTTGAATCGTCACGCTTGATAGGTTGTATAGAGATGCTGTTGTGTTTTAAATTTGGTTCTTACATAGATAGAGGTGATATATATAAGTAGATACACAGCTATATATAAATGGTGTGGGTGGAGCAAGGTGGTGGAGGGCAGCGGTGTGTGAGTGGGTGTGTCTGGTTAAAGGTAAAGGAACTGACTGACTGACTGGCAACAACAGCACACCACCAGATGAACCCTCGCCACGGTCACACCTCACGCGTGTCCAAACTGGATAAGGTTTGTTTACGTTATTCAAGTCTTTTTTTGTGTGTATTGTGTATCAAATGTCATGTGTTTTGGGGAATAATTACGAGTGATGTAATTTTTTTCGAAGTTCTAAAATGATCTGTAGATGACATGATTTAAACTATGATTAAACTATGCTAATCCAACCTAATCTAATTTAAAGTGTGGTTCTACTGTATAATATTATATACATTAATTTAGTTGAACTGTAGTCATACAAGAAATACAAACAAGCATAATCCCTATATCGCAAATATCAATTCCGCGCTAAGTCATAAAACACTGAAAATTAAACATTCCGTGAAAATTAAGCCTTCGGTACTCTTGGAGGCAATATGAACGGCACTGCACACGATAACATTTCACTTTCTCATCTGTAAAGTAAGGTACCCATTTTAAGTTGGACGGGTTGGGGGTGCCTCAGACGCGTAAGTCGACTGGTACAAAGATTAGGTTAGGTACTCGACCTCTGTCCCCCTTAAAACACGTGATACTGTATATAAACGTGCCATCACTTACCCACGCACGGCTATTCTGATTATAATGTGTTTTGTTGATATTGTTATTTCGGTATGAACAGACTGTAAATCAGCCTAGACTAGTATCATAACACTGGCATAATTATACATTCTAGGAGCCAATCAATTGACGTTCTATTGTTTGGACCAGATAAAACTTTGTTCGAGATAATTTTGCAAGTTCTGTGTTTTAACTTAATTCAGCCAGTTCGGTGCATTCTTACATTTTCATTTTCATGGAAATTCGTCGGACGAGTCTTTAAGGGGATCTTGCGTCCATAATGTGGCGTTCAATTGGTTGGTAATTAATTCCATAAAAGTGTATTTACGATAACTTGTCAATTCAATACTGGGGAGAAATTGATGTATGTATGTGTGTACAGAATGTATGTATTTTTGAATTCCGACTTTTTTGCTAGGATTCTCAGTGACGTATATTTAGTTTCCCACCAGACCAAAGATGCGAGAAGGTATCTAATTCGGTAATGTTTCCACACACAATGATGGTCAAAATCGATGTCAAGATTGCCGTGAGGATGTACTGTAGCGGTCTCATAGTGTCAAGGTTAGGTATTACAGAGAATTGCAGTATTAATTCAGATTGCATCTTGTCCTTGATGTGACGGTATGAATATTCAGTAGGACGCGGCACTCATACACAGCCGCCTCGCTCTTCCTGTTATTGAAACTCTCGCCAACAGTTTCAGAATGGTTGACTTGTTTTAATTTTGTTTGTTTTTTGTGGGGAAAAGCAAAGTCCTGTCCTATAGATTGTACGCACATGACGTTATCGAATACCTGTAGGGTACACATGATGGAGATACGCGACTGGGTTATAATGTATTCCTGTGTGTATTAGTGTTTGTAGATATTAGTGAATTTTCAGAAGTTTACATAATGACTGGGTGTGGAGAAGTAAAGATTGTTGTGTTTGTCGTGAGTATGACAGGTGTAAGTTGATACCATCAGCGGCGGCTTTGCCTTACATAGCAGCTTACACAAAAGTGACTCTCCTGGTATAACTGTAACGTGGAGAAGTGTCTAGACAGAACAGGAAAAACAAAAAAGTGTTTCACAAAACAGTGTTATAGACTACTGGCAGTCATCATGAACTAGGGAGGAGTGTGTTAATGCGCAGTAATACATTATAAAATCAATAACTGTGAGAAGATGAGTGACTGTCAAGCTGAGTCAAAACTTAACTGGAGAAGATGTAAACAGCGTAAGTATGCTGTTTGATCACTCAGTTACAGTGCATTAAGGCTACACCGTGTGAGATATAATGTTGACACACGAGGAACACATCAAAAAGCCTTTGGCCAACTTCACTGTTTTCATTTTCGATTAAGCACAGTCGTTCTTAACTGCATGATGCACGACATTAACAAAAATGCAAAAGGAACTGAAAGTATTCACTGTGTGTGTGTCATCTGGTGTACACATGTTTTACTATCAGTAGTGTGTGTGTGTGTGTGCGTGTGTGTGTGCGTGCGTGCGTGCGCGCGTGTGTCGCCTGGTGTACACACAGGGATGTTTTTGTGTACTATACATGAAAAGGACAACTAGTGCACACAAACACACCCCGTGTATACAGCAGCGTTCACAAAGAGTAAATGGTTTCATTATTGTTCTTACCTGTTGTATACAGGGTATTAATGTTCAGACGCCTGTAGTATACTGTACAGTGCAGTGCCTTTAGATCTATTAATACACTACATTAAATTACGGTCAAATATCGTTCCAAAGAAAACTAAGGAATGAAATTAATCAATAATTTTTTAAGTAAGATTGATCTAGATATATTTTGTATTGTAGATGTAATTAGTATGGTGTGTATTAACCTGTATGGTGTTATGCCAGAGTTTTCGTATTTCTGGAGTGTTGGCACCACACGCTAGTTCAATTTTATTCATTTCATATCTTCATTCCAAAAGATCCAAACATTCTTGGCGCTGTGTAGCTCTTAGCCGTGTTTTACTGTCCCCAGGAAGTCGGTAAGTGAGGAAACAAAATTCACTGTCACTTGGCCAGTCGATTTGTCACACACACACACACACACACACTTTTTTTCGTGGGTGAGGTTGTGTTGCATTTATCTAATAAAGTGACAAGAATATGGGCAAGATACACCTGATGTCGGACTCGTAAAATTATGATAAAATCAGTAACAATAATAATAATAATAATACTGTAGTAGGAAGAAAGGCTAAAACATTACTCCCACAAAAACACTCCATCATCACAACTTGTGTTCATCACGTATCTAATACCGAAGGTCATTTGATACATAGGGTATGACCTCACAAAAATAGAGAATTTTTTAACACATGATCTAAACAGACAGCAGTAACCACGCTTGTGGCCATATACAGTATTTAATTTTCAGCAGATTTTTGCTCAGAGGAATCAATGTGCGTTTTTAACTGTTCTCTATTATTAAAGGGATGTTTTAGTTGGAGTTTTCCCTCCGTACTTCTTCTCAAAGACACCATCACAACATATGTTTATTGTTTAACCCTATCAATTTTTTTGGTCAACCCACAAGCCTGACGTTAATACTTCTGGGTATAAGGGTTGCTGGTGTGAGCCTGGGAACACCCACAGTCGATCCAGCTGTGAATGGGTACCTAAGTTTTAAAAGAAGTTAAAAATGAAGGCCATGTTGCCTACCTGTGACAAAATCCTGTGTACCAAAGGCCTAGTATTCAGTGTGTTGTATCCACATTGTCCCTACCGGGCCATCAGGTGTATAAGACGCACTTGTACTGTACTAGTAATTCGTGTGTGGTGGGACAAGTGACAACATCTTTAAACCCTTAGATAGTGGATTCACAAAAGTTCCTACAGTGAATATTCCTCTTAACTGAAGGTGTCAGAATGCAACTACAATACTGTATTTTATTTATCATACAAGTACTGTAATGTCCAAAAAATATCATCGAAATTGTACCGAATTATTTGAAGTGAATGTAATTACTTAAAATAAATTGATAGTATAATTTTGATACTACAATACTGTATTTTTTAAAGTTATAGTTGTGCTTGAAGTCAAACAGTTAGTTGTATTCTGACAGTGCCATTGGATCACCTTAAAATTAGCCCCACCACCTTATTTCACCCTAAAATTAATCACCTTGAGGGTAACCTAACCTAAGCTAACCAGGCAGCATCAGGGCATTTTATAATAAGGTTAAATAATGTGGAGGTGATCTTCAGGTGACCCTGTTCATCCACAAATAACAATTGATCATACCTTCGTGTAATTAGACTCAGGTGATGTTGTCATGTTCTAAAGCTGTATGTAGGTCCAGTAATGTGCCTTGTATTACAGGTGTGAAGAGTGAAGTGTCAAGTGTGACGTCAGGACGTACTCAAGGGTCAGCTCCCAGCCTCAGTAGAGACTCCCTGGTGGTGGTGACACATGCTTCCTCTGGTCACCAGGTAATGAACTGTACAGTACATATTTCATGTTTACAGTTTAAGATCAATGTTTAATAAATAATACTAAAGAAACTTACTTACTGTATGTGGCAAAATCTTCAACCAATAATTTATATGGAAGAGTAGTTACAACACCGAGTTCTACTCTCCTTTTAATCCACTTATTTTACCAACACCTTCCTTTTTCCTTTCTGTTTTCTCTACAAAATTTCAATAAAAACTCGGGTGGACGCAGCAAGGAGTTGCCTGGGGGGCATCTTGGCACCAACTAATCTGTGACTCGGGCAGTGGTGTCGTTCCTACAGATTTATCTGCAGGTTTGCTGATTTCTCATGTCCATTCTCATGTATTTTCTGAATAGGGCTAATTACTGTATACAGTAATGGTTATAAGGTCTGAAACTTGCTTGTGACTGAGATTTTATTGGAAGGAATAGACATAAAAAAATCAGACAGAATTGAATGGCACCACTGCTGGTGCTAGTTGGTGCCACATGTCAACAGCTACTAGTATGCTAGTAGTGGCATGGAAAGGCTCCAATTGTTCACCTCCTGAGTTATCATACTAATAAAATGCCTTGTGTAAACACACCACACATATTTTATGAGCTAAGAAAGATTGTAATGATTAAAGCAGCTGCCATATCAGATAAAATATGTTTTAAATTAAAAGTAAAAATGATTAAATCTAAACTAAGTGACAATTTCTCAGTAAGAACTCTGTAAAGTCAGATGTTTTCAGTCACAAAGAAAAGGGATGGCACAGCACAGTGGGAAAAAAAATTATGAAGCACTCCTGTGCTGACATCCTACCTTCTTCACAGGCTTGTCTTCTTTCTGAGCGAGACTCACCCTCTGAGTACATCTATGACTGTGGGTGTTGCTGTGACCCACCTTGTGAACTGGCCTGCTCCTGTGACTGCCCGGATGATGATGATAACAGCGAGCATTGTGGAGTGTCTGAGGAAGGTCACCAGAGTCCCGATGACCTCCTGCCACGGAGCCTCTCCATGCCCCTCAAGGAACAGGCCCAAATGGTAATTTTAAATCTTATTAGTCTCATGTAAGAATGATCTAACATGAGGTAAGGGATTGGAATTAGGATCCAAATTGGGTGCTACTTTGAGGAGAGGACTAACCTAACCTAGCCTAAAAATATCACACAATTTGGAGCTAAATTGAGGCGCCTAGAATGGGAATGGCGTAAGCTCCAAAAATCACGATTTGAAGGTATGGCCACAGGTATGTTCAGTGGCCTTTGTTCTACATGATCAAACCTGACTGAGTGCTGCTTACGCCGCCGCAAGGTCGAGAATTCCATTGGAAGAGCACGGGGTGGTCAGCACATCATACGTAACTAATATACCCAGTTTCATGAAAACTTGGTGATATTTATTGATTTTTATTATTTTTAGGGGGGGGGGGGGCAGTGGCGTTTGGGATGTGGCAACATCCCTTATATGGTCCAAATTTTGTGGAAAGTTTCATTGAAATCCATGCAGTAGTTTCCATGGTACATAAACTTAAAATTTTAATTGCGATTTACTCACAGGCATTTTGGAGATACGCCATTCCCATTCTAGGCGCCTCAATTCAAGTCTGGATCTTCAAAACATATCATTCTTGTTTAAAGTTTTGGGTTCAGACCATATAACTGGAGTGGAGGTGACCGAGAAGTTGGGATGGTGACAAGTACTGTATCACGTGTTTTAAAAAACAATGTTATGAAGGTACTGTACAATATCTCAAATCATGATCATGTGATTTATCTTACCTTTTCTCTGTTATTTAGCTGGAAATGGAATAAACTTAATAAAATACTGTATATATAATAAGTGCACAGTGCTCACCCTATCAACACTGAATATACAGTACAGTATCTCCATAGTAAGGCAACATGTCCCAATCTCACTGTACGTGCTGTAATTTTATTAGTCATTACTCATCTTCATATTTTATAATTCAGGTAATACAGTACAGAGAGAAATGAAAAACAAAATACTAAGATTGGTTAGTGAGGAGAGAAATACAGCCTACTGATGACTTATGGAAAAAGGAAAATAAGATATTTTGGCCATATGCTATGAATGATGGGATAATGGAGGAGATTTTGATGGGCAAAACTGAGGGTAGGAAAACTCGGAGAAGACAGACTGTGATGGATCAATTAAATTAAAAGCTGCGTCCCCTGAGAGATACAGTAATTAGGGCCATTGGTGCCAACCCTCAGATATAAGGATGGTACAGTACCCTGATTGGTGTCCACTTACTGGTTGTAGACAAATCCACTCTGTTAAAATTTTATATCTGAGGTTCCCACATTCAAATAATTTTTCACAAATTAAAATCTTTACTTACCTCCATTTTGCATGAATATGGAAATTGTAAAAGATTTTGTGGATTTCCCAAAAGAGAAATGGGAAGGATTATTTGTATCCTGAAGTAGAAGAAATTCTATTTTAATATCACTTTATTTACTGTGGCATATTGTATGTACTGTACTGTATTTCACTGTGTACATGTGCTTCTATTAGTATTATTCCACTATACGTACAGGACTGTATCCTCTTTGCCGCTGATTAGCCTGTTATCCACTCAGTGTCAATGTTCTTCATTTACAGCATTTTTTGAAGATATATTTACTGTACAGCTTCTGACCAACATTGCCACTACACTCTGTATTTCAATCAAGTACAGTACTGTATATTCCATGCATTGTCAGTTTTAAATATTCAGTACAGTATGTATTGCAGGTGAAACCATTGAATAATAAACAATAATATAGTACAGACCCAAATGTTGGTAACTTACTGGTAACATAATTTTCAAATAATAACAGTATCATGATAATGTGCCTTAAATTCAACTAAGTACAACAAGAGTTCCCTCAAAACACTTAACACATGGCTGCTGTTGTTTGGTAAAATTTTCATTCATATATAATAAGAGATTGACTATTAATATCTTGTTACAGCAAGGAAATGATGACAGTGGGGAAACAAGCAACAACAACAGCGTGCGGTCCAAGGTCTGTCAGCGGCCCACCAGTAACCCAGTCGCCTTCAGTCCCTGTGACCTGACCCTTCCACGACCCCCTAGACGAGGTTTGTATTTACCTACTGGTGTACTTATTACCTGATCAAATAGGTCCATAGTTCTAATGGCCTCTGATATAACCTCATCTTTATGATTCAGGTCTTACCCTAATGGACCTCAGGATTAATAGTTAGATTAAGGTTGAGCCTATGAGGCCAAAAATTAACACACATAAGTAGCACTTGAAGATCAGGTAAATTCGTCATCCTTCTGGTTTTGCCATCGAACGAGTGCTTCTAGTGCAGCATGGTGCTTAGATCTCTCCTCCTTTGTATTTGTTAAATTTTGAGGTTCATCAGATGTATCTACACTCTATATCTCCAAGGGTATTAATTTATCGATAGTTCTGAGGGAGACACTACCTTTTGTCAACACTTTAACTGCTTTGAGTATACCGTTCTTGTCAGGAAGTAGAGATATTATCTTGCCTAATGGCCATGTTGACCTAGGGCTATCACAGTCAATGAGGACTATTTCCCCAGGATGTAGGATTTACACCATAATGGTGTTTTCTAAGAGAAGTAAGATAGTCTTGGTGCCATGTTTTATTCCATTGTTTTAGCACTTTGTTAATAGGGTTAAAGCGAGTCGTTAATTCTTCTGAAGTTGGTTTCCCTAGCTTGAGCAAAAAGTCGGTATCTGTAGCATACTCTTTGTTGATGACTGGAGGTATCGTTGCAATCTGGGATCCTTGCAGCAAATGATTGGGTGTTAGAGCTTCTGGCTCATCTATGGTTTCTTGGACATATGTAAGTGGGCGGTTATTTACTCTGGCTTCTGTCCCAACTAACACTGTCCATTTTGTTAGTGGTTATGTAATCTCCGCAGAATCTACAACCACAGTTGTATATATATATATATATATATATATATATATATATATATATATATATATATATATATATATATATATATATATATATATATATATATATATATATATATATATATATACTGTATATATATTTAGAGAGAGAGAGAGAGCGAGGTGCCTGTAGGTGCCTATAGGTTGTTTCATTGTAGTTCCTCATGTACCAATAATAACATTGACATTATTCTGGTGGGTGTGTCTCATAAGTAAGAAAAATGCTGCAACTGTAGGAAAAATCAACATACCTGTATTCACAGTCTGCTTCACTCATCTTCTGTTAAATGCCAAGAAACATTAACATTTTACTTCAAAAATTATTTTGGTGGATTTGTTTCATGAAAAAACATTGTGATTGTAAACTGAAAATATCGTAAGGTGGACATGACGATAAACTGTTTCACTGTCCGTGCTAATACAATATTGACATTACTTTTGGGTTAGGTAGGATATAAATTTTGGTTGGCCTGCGGAAAAATATCTAAATCATAATGTGGCCCATGACTGAGGAAAGGTTGCCCATGCCTGGTCTAAGAGATACAAGGAGGAGAAATGACATGCTTCTAATGAGATTACATGTAGAGTATACTATTGATTTAATGGGATCCAATATAACAGACTCTCGTTTTACCGGAAGGGATTTTTCCTGTTATTTTCTCTCGATTTAGTGAACTACAGTAGTTCGCTAAATCGAGATTAATTCCGTTAATACACACACCTATGGAGACACCTCAGACGCGTGATATGTACACAGAAACATTATTCGTGGCTTACTTTAAACCAGGGGGGTTCAGTGTTTGTTTTAAATTTTTTCTATTATTCCCAAACTTTTTTCCAATTGATAGCTGCCCTCTTTTGACTTTCTCCCCCACACCACTTCCTTTCTGAGACTTATGAGAGACTTTTGGCATGATTTCTAAGCACAGTACATAGTTAGTTGACCAAGAGCTAGACCGAGAGGTAGCCGTGAACAACACAAGCATTGGCGGCAGAACACAGACTGTGCGTATGTAAACAAACCCCACGCACCAAGCTGTGAAATTTAACGGAATCATGCTCGATTTAGTGAAGTAGTTCGTTAAATCAAGCAAAAATACAGTAATGGAAATTTTGATGTAACGGAAAGGGGCGGCTCGAATTAGTTTGACTAAATTTAAATTTTAGTATATTTTCATGATTTTTAGTAAAGTATGTTCTGAAAAACATACTGTATATGGTGTTACAGTACATAGGTAAGCCCTTTTGTTACTGTGCAGGTAATTTGTTTATTTTTTCATGAAGCAATAGGGAGGGATCCATCCATTGTTATATCATGGTTTGTGCAAGTGTTTCACCCCATTTGATTGAAAATAAAGATAAGCTTGACAGGTACAGTACAATTTATGAAAGAAATATGAAATAAGGAAAAAAAAATTAATTTATGGTGACTATTTTAACAGATTCGGGGTTGAGTAGTGAAACCCGGGGTCGGACCTTGGAGGGTGGGTGTCTTCCACTGGCACCAGAATCCCGGCTGGACGAACAGAGCGCATCATCAAGTGGTGAGTAGTACAGTACTATGTGATACACATTTTACAAGCCTCTAGGCTCATCTGGAGGAGTCATGTTTTGATGCATTGCAAGAATAAGGAGCTCCTGCTGAGTAGAACAATTTATGTTGACAGTAAAATGTGTAATGCAAATTCAGTCCCAGAAATAAGTACTGTACAGATTTACATATAAAGTACAGCAGAGACACAAGTGCCCCACAGAACACAAATCAGCCTGCAGTGTATGATAATATTAATCTGAATCTTCTTCCTTATTCATGGATTGTAATTAACTGAAAATATCTTACTAGCCAACAGGAATAGTAATTATATTATACATTTTTGGGGCCCCCCAAATTCGCTGAGTTTAGGTTCTCAAAATGGCCGCGAATTGCCAAATCCTGGGGGGGGAGGTTACATTTTTACTAGTTACAGTATTAAGAAATGTATATTCCCTTTGTGTTTGCCCTTAGGACAATTATTTCTTTTACCTGTATTGTATAAGAGTGCAGAGGTCATATTGCAACTATATCTTGCGGTAGTAAGGCCGCACCTCGATTATGCTGCTCAGTTCTGGTGCCCTTATTATAGAATGGATATCAATTCACTGAAGTCGGTGCAGCGAAGAATGACAAGAATGATTTTGGAACTTAGAAACCTTCCAATGCAAGATAGATTAAAGAAACTAAACTTGCATTCCCTAGAAAGACGAAGAGTGCGGGAAGATAGGATAGAAGTATTTAAGTGGGTGAAAGGAATCAATAAAGGAGCTATAGATAAAGTTCTTATAATATTCGAGCAGGATAGGACTCTTAGCAACGGATTTAAGTTGGATAAGTTTAGGTTTAGGTGGGAGATAGGAAGGAACTTGTTCACAAATAGGGTGGTGGACGAGTGGAACAAGCTTAGCAACTTTGTAGTAAGTGCTGGAACATTGGAAAGTTTTAAAAGGAGGCTAGATAGATTCATGTATGATAGAGAGTGGTATTAACTCTCAACAAGAGCTGCTGTGCACAGGCCAACCGGCCTATTGCAGACTCATTATTTTCTTATGGTCTTATATATGTGTGTGTGTGTGTGTGTGTGTGGACACACACACAAAACACATACAGTACAAATAAATAATAATGGGAAAATACTCTCACAAAAAATCAGAAACAAATTTATTAAAAATGTGAGTCTACCCTTCAGTCCGTGCTCTATTAATAATTATTATTTATTTGTGTGTGTTTTGTGTGTATGTGTGTCTACACACACACACACACACACACACACATATTTACAATACAGGTAAAGGAAATTACTGTTTCTAGAACGAATGGCTCCCTGTCTCGGTCGCAAAAATGCCAGCAACTTTAAAACTACTCACAGACATTCTTTGGTACATCCAGGGTGTCATCTGTGAATAACCGAGAACCGCGAAGTAAAAATCCGCAAACTTGGGGGGCCCCTGTACTAGCTCTCAAAATGTTGACAATGAGTGAAAGTAGAATGTACATAAAGCTTAAATGAGAGTCTAAGTTGTACTAATTTTCTGTTATGGATGTGGAACATTTCCTATCTAAGGTACAAGAGGGTAAAGGTGGGAGTAAAAGAAGAAATAAATTGTAAAGAAATGTAGTAGTTACAGATATATAGTTTAAAGAATGAAGCTGTGCGATGTTTAAATTAGTATTACAAAAGTTGCACAACATTGAGTATATTTGAGTCTCTTTTATGACCTTTTAGTAGCTATTTAGTACAGTATTATATATGTTTTACTTTTCAACAGTGCTTGACTAATAGGGTAAAAATTTAAAAGCAGTTACAGGGATGCTATCAAATAAAGGAATAACAGGTTTAAAAAACCTGTTTTCCAGTGTTGTGTGTTAGTTAGTTAGTTAGTTAATACCGTAATCAGTACAGTAATTATTTCTTGCTAGAAAATTATTATAATTCTACATTATTACAATACTGTATTTGCTGTTCATATTAATGAGGAAGAATATTATATTTGATTCTCTCTACACTGTAGCACTGGACAGTGTCTCTCCAGCTGGACGCGGCGGAGAACTGGAAGGTGCCGTAGTGGATGAGGCTTTCCGAACACGTTCACTTCCGGCTTGGGTTAGGAATAAGACACGACCTTTGGCAGCCTTGGATGACCTCAATACTATCTATGAGAAGGTAAGATCCTGACAGGGGCCAGTACTTGCCAACAGTCCATAACAGAGATGTGATTAACCGCCCAAGCGGCTAACAAGCCGATCAGTGCCAAAGAGGATAAAAGTAAAAATGTATAATCCTAATGTTATCTGTTCAAAGGGTAGATAATTTTGTCTTGGTTTGCCTCAGTTTTCTCTGTTTTAAGAATAGATTTTGACAATGACATTGTGTATCCTTATTATCAGTTACATTCTCTACAGCCAAACTGGAGCAAACGCCGTAGAAATCGCATGCGAAGTGATGCTGCTGCTGTTATTGCCCTCAGTAAATCCCGAGGTCGTCTACTGTCTCCCAGTCCTCAAGTAGCAGGTCAAGCAGCTGCTGCAGCTACTCCACCAGACACTGCAGCTCTTGTGGAAAATGAAGCAGTCATAGTATATGATGAGAGAACCGCACTGTAAATTAAAAGTGCTCCTTTTCTATTGTATACAATTGCTGGAGTATGTTTGGCCGAGAATATATCAGCCGAGACATTTCCTTGACTAATTAAACCAAACTGGTGCAAATATTTCAGGGCAAAAAGATGTGTAGGCAAATTATGTGGTCATCATATACAAGACTGGTGGATGTTCATGGCTAGTGTGAAAGATCTTACACATGGTGACACAGGTAATCTTAATGTTGAATATGATTGTAAATACTTTTTCATTAGAATTTTCGTATTTGCCCCTCATCTTTTGTAAGTGCAAAGTTTATACCTGACAGTAATAAAATTATTTAGCTTTGTAATTCATATTTGCTTTTAGGGAAAACCCCAGTATTAAGATATTTCAGGAAGCTGCTATACTATTTACTGTATCTTCATCTGTCTATCAAGTTTAATACCAGGGGTGGAACAGTTTGCTCAAGCCTTACATGACCAAGGCTTTTCTAGACCTCTGAGAGAGCTTTTATTTTGTGACAACCAGGCCATACCCCCCCCCCCCCATCCTACCCTTATAGTCGCCTCTACAACATACAAGGGAATACTGAAGCTCTATCTGTTTTTCTGTAGCCTGACCCCAACAGTCAACCTATCACAAACAACTTCCAACTGGGTCTCTGTAATCCCTAATGTACTAATCTTGTACATATAGTCTTGAGGATTTTGATAAGAGGTGAATATATGTATACTATATAAGTGATATTAAACACAATTTATTCCCTTTATATACTGTATTTAATTTGAAAAAAGATTATTTATGTGTGTTTTCCCATTTGTTATTAAGGTTATGAATTACTATTGTATAAAAATGAGTACTGTAGTTTGATTGTATCATCATCTGTTGCAGAATTTTATTATGGCCATCAATATCCGTCTCTGTATTAAGGTTTAGAACCTTATCCTAAAGTTAAAACTAAGAAAAAGTCTTATGTTACAAAACTTTTGAATATATTTCTTGGGAATCTTGATAGGTAACTAACCCAAATCCTTTCCCAAGTGGTCTAACCAGTAGCAGTCTTTGATTATTAAACAAATATCCTGTTACTGTCTAAATTTGCAAAGTTCCCTCATTCTTTGTCAAAAGAATGTACAGGGGGTCCCCGAGTTATGAACGTCAGCATTTAATTAAAATGGATACCAAGTAATTCCCAGGCCGAGCATCGAAATTTTGAACCAGTTCCCTATCTGTGTGTTATATGTTATGTTCTGGTTACTTTTTGACTTGTAATTTTGGGTAGATACAATATTTTCTGAGAACTGCTATGCAGTGTGTATACTGTACTAACTTGTATCATTTTTGCTCTTTTTATGCTTTCATTATTGCTATTTATATTGTGTACTGTATAATATAAAACTATGAAAAGAGATAAATGAAGAGTGAGAAGTGAATCTTGTGTGGGAGAGGTGGGAGGCATGTTCAGTGAGTGGCTGGAGGATTGAGACAACTCCCTCCCTCCTCTTTGATGTCAGTGTATAATTCAGCTACTGGTGTAGATGAATCATACACCTGGCAGAGTGACGGGTGGGACTGCAGCTCTGCAGCTCCTATGGACATGTATGCAATTTCATCATAATTCCGATATCACAGTACTTAAGTTGACTTGGTGCCAGGTTAATAAAATTTTTTAAAACAATCAATTTTCCTCCCAAAAAGCCCCACACTTAATCCCAGATGAATTATTGTGTAGTATTAAATTTCCAGTGCTTTGCTTATGGAGTGACAACAGCTGATCAGTGCTTTCATCTCTGATATTGGTGTGATGCAGAGGATGATTATGAGATGGGTAGGAACTGTTTATGTAATGTAGAACTTCATTTTGTTATATATTATATATATATATATATATATATATATATATATATATATATATATATATATATATATATATATATATATATATATATATATATATATATATATATATATATATATATATATATATATATATATATATATATATATATATATATATATATATATATATATTATAATTTTAAAGATAAGGATGGGTTTTATTCATATTTCATTGCATAATGAACATGGTTCTGAGTTATAAACAATTTGACTTACGAATTGGGTCTAGGAATTTAATCCAATCGTAACTTGGGGACCTCCTGTATCCAGTTACATGGAATAACAGTCCTCCACCTCCATAGCCAGTATCATATTATGTAACTAACCAACCTGCCCATAAAGTAGTCAGTACAGTACAGTTTTAAGTACCAGTCCCATCCCTACAATGAGTGATGTAGCCAGTACAGTCCTGACCCACTAAAGTGACCTAGCCATTACCATAAGGTTAAGATTTAAGACCTCAATGGATTTTTTATAATCAGATGATACTTTTAGACTAAAAAAATATGTATTGAAACCTTTTATATCATGCTTTTTGTGTATGAAAGTGTTAGTGAATGGATTTTTTTAGTGCCTTGTAAGAATGAAGCTTTGTAGTATGACATAGACTTAATTGTCTTTTAATACTGACTTAAATGTTGTAAATTAAATGTATTATATTATCATAGTTTATGTATGATAAAGAAATCTTGATACACATTTAGTTTATAAAACCTTATTTAATGGAGACTACAAAAAGATGGTGAAGCCCAGCCACTGTGAAAGAGTATTGATTGAACTTGGCTGTCCATCAGTGTTTAGTGCAAGTGAATGGATAAGTGGGCCACAGTCCTACTGAGCCCCAGCCTTGCTTAACTTAACCATTTGAACTGACACTCACTCTGAAAGGGTACGTCGTAAGAGGACTAACTAAATCCTAATGGGGATCAGTCTTAATGGTTAGGTTGCCACTTATTGGGACTGGGTTCATTTGATTTATAACCTTAATGCATGGATTCCGTAATTGAACCTGATAAAATGAAACAGAAAGTGTTCTCCAGACACTTGGGGCGGTGGAGCCCCCAGGGATGTCGGTGCACCCAATGGCCCTCCCGAGGGTGCCACAGCCCCTAGGGGCTCTACCACCTCTGGGAGGGCCCTAGGGGCTCCACTGCCCTTAGGAGGGCCATTGGGGGCACCACCACCCCTGGTAGAGCCCCTAGGGGTACCACGACCCCTGGGAGGACCCTGGCTGCGCTGCCATCCCTAAGGAGGGCCCCTGGAACTGCTGCCCCTGAGGGCGTCACTTCCCCCGAGAGGACCCTTGGTGGCGTCTCCACCCGTGGGAGGGTCGCTAGGGGTGCCACCACCTTTGGGTGGACCTTCAGTGCTCCTCCACCCGTAAGAGGACCCCTGGGAGGGCCTCCGGGATGACCACTGGGAATTTCCTTGGGTGTGCCGCCACCCCTGCAAGGGGCACTGCTACCCTTGAGAGGGCTCCCTATGGGCGCCGCCATCCCTGTGAGGGACCCCAGGGGCGCTGCCACATTTGAGAGGGCCCCTGGCGTCATCGCCACCCTTGGGAGTGACTTTGGGGGCGCCAACTCCCCTGGGAAGGCCCTGAGGCACCACATCCCTTAGCATGGCCCCTGGGGTCGCCGCCACCATTAAGGAGGGCCCCCCTAGAGGCACTGCTGCCCCTGAGAGGTCCCCTAAGGGCACCACTGCATCAAGAAGGGCCCCTACTGTCTTCTGGAGCAGAATCCTACCATATTTTGGGGCAGAATTCTACCGTATTCTAGAGCGAAATCCTACCATATTCTAAGGCTAAATCTTACCGTCTTTTTATAAATAGTATCATAATATTTATAAATTATTACTAAATGGACTTTAAATAGCCAAAGGAATTTTTTTCATTTTATTTTTTTAGTGGATTTGTAAACGCTGTCAAATCATTTGGTTCTCTGGCTATTGACTTAAGTTTTGTTTATATTAAAATGTTACCTTTATGAAGAATTAATAAATAATTTAACATTATAATTATAGCATAATTTATTTATGTGATGTAAATTTTATTAGTAAAATACTTTTATTATAGTAATAATAATGAAAACTTATAATTACTGAAAGATAAGAGAGAGAATCGGACAAGGTGTATCAGGACGCCAACAACTGACATTGTTGTGGGCGTATTTGTTGATTTGTGAACAAAATGTTAATTTGTGGGCCTTCCTCCCTCTCTTGTGGTAAGTTAACATTATGTATGTGTGTATGTATATACGTATGGCCTTATTAAGGTAATAACTAAGACACAGTACAACTAATGTGGTCGTGTTGTGTATTTTTGTTAATGTGTGGGCCTTCCTCCCTCCCTCGTGGTAAGTTAACATTATGTCTGTCCTTGTTAACTAGACACAGTGCAGTAAGACAAAGCTGATCACTTTAGTTTATCTTTATTTACCTTATATTATAGTACTGGTATAGGTTAATATTCGTCCATTGGCTGTCTGCAGGTTCCCAATATAACAGACACAAAGACTGATTATATTAGTACAGTATCACAAATTTCAAGGCTTAAATTTATGTTCCCGCCATGTTGCCTGAGTCTCTTTTATCATCTTGTCTTCACTTTTATATGTTAATACTGTACTGGTATATTTTATGGTAATTATTGATGACTGACCAGCGGCCAATTTTTCTTAGGAAACTTTTATAAAAACGCCGCAATTTTACTGTGTTATATAGTGGACACTGTTGTAATTTGTGCAAATGTGTTAAAAAGTGGTTATTTCTAAAGTAAACCTAACCTAACCTTCCCAAGTTTTTGTAGTAAATATAATGTTTTGTTTGTTACAGGAGATGTTACAACAAAGCTTTGGGAGATTGAGCTGCTCTATAACGGCTGAAAATGATAAACTCGAGCTTGGAACAAAAGCATCTACCAGCACTATCATCACTGCCACCACCACTACTGGCACCACCACCTATGGCAAGGTAAACTATAGGAACAGCTCTCATGGTCTATACAGTATAGTCTCGATTTACGTGGATTTCCTTTATGCGTTTGGTCATTTCCGCGGCACCTGGCCAGACTGGCAATTATTAGTTACGCTGTACATTCCATCATTTACGCGGCACGGGCAGGGTGCGCGCTAGGTCGCCCAGTCAACAAAACATTACCGAGTTCTTCACCCGCTACCCACCACAGCCAGCCCAAGTCAGTGATAGTGATAGTGAGGATATGGACTTTGAGGGGTTTGACAAAGAGGCCCTGCAAGCTTCTGCGGTGGATAGTGATACAGGTGATACAAGTGATACAGGTGTAGGCCAATAATCTGCCCTCTGCCTCAGAACAAACCCCCCATCCCCGTGTGCCCAGCCATCTCTTCTACTAACGTAAGTGTTCAAAAACTTAATATTATTGATATTTCTCTTAAATATAAATTGTGTGTGCATACCATCATAAAATTAAGATGTTATTTTTACTACAACGTACGTATTGTGTCGGAAAAAGGGTAGTCTGTGGGTCGGCCCTGTCTCTATTTCATTTAATCCCATATGTTCTGTTATTTTATTTACGCGTTTCACGTTATACGCGGACCTCCATGGGTTAAGTTAGCCGCGTAAACCCAGACTGTACTGTACTGTATTAATGTACCACTAATTTAGCTGGGAATAATAAGGCAAAAATGACAAGCATGCAAGGTTTACAGTCCCAAGAAAGTTCACATAAACCAAACTTGCTTAAAACAAACAAATTCTGTACTGAATGACTATTAATTTATGGGCATATTTTTATCATAAACTGTTGAGTATATTAATTGTTTTTTGTTTGTTTGTTACAGGTAAGAACCTTGGGAAATTGAACAGCACCATCACAACTGACAATGATAACTACAGGCTGAGACAGAGCTGCCATTGTAGAACTTAATTCCAATGAACACTCTGACACCACCACCACTACCACATATGGCAAGGTAAACTAAAGGAGTCATTTGTCTGTCTGTGTCTCTGTCTTCCATTTATATCTTTCTATCTACTAAACTGTTTCTGTATGTTTGTGTCTGTCTGTCTTTATGTGCCTTTCAGTATTCTATCAATACCTATCTCAGTCTGTTTTATCTATTGTATTGTATATCTGTCAATCTGTTTATCAATACAAGTATTGATTAATTTACATTTTCAACTAATATGGCTCTTGAGTTGAGCAATGTGTTTTTCTGATGTCTTAGACCAGACATGGGCAACCTTTCCTCAGTCATGGGCTGCATTGTGATTTAGGTATTTTTCCGCAGGCCAACCAAAATTTATATCCTACCTAACCCAAAAGTAATGTCAATATTGTATTAGCACGGACAGTGAAACAGTTTATCATCATGTTCACCTGACAATATTTTCAGTTTACAATCACAGACTTTTCCCATTGATGAAACAAATCCACTTTAATAATTTTTAAAGTAATGTGTTAATGTTTTTTGGCATTTAACACAAGATGAGTGAAGCAGTCTGTGGATACGTTGATTTTTCCGACAGCATTTGTCTTACTTATGAGACACATCCACCAGAATAATATCATTGTTAATCTTGGCATATGAGGAACTACAGTGAAACAACCTGTAGACACATCTATTTATTTTACAATGCCAAGAAACATTAACATGTATCCTTGATAATAGCGAGGGTTAGGTTCTGGAAAACTACCTTGATAAACAAAACCGTACATATTGAAACAAATAACATATGGGAAAAATTAGTTTGGTTCCACTACCCCAAAGATGCATCTCCTAACTGACCAAAATATACCCCCAATAATGTGTAGGTAGTACACTAAAAGATATAATACTAGTAACATATCTTTACTACCTTATTTTACAGCATATAAGATGGACTTTTTTGTCTGAAAAATGGCTAAAAAAATCAGCCTGCATCCTATATGTGAAGCTGTGGTCTCCCATAAGCTAATGAATCCCCCAGTTGCTGTCTCCAGTAGGCTAAATTGTATCTAACCCAACTCCAGAATTAAAAATATGTTATTTCTAACTTAAACACATTATTATTATTCTTAATTAATTAAAAAATAATTACAGCTCCTCCCCGACTTACGACGGGGTTAGGGACCCAAATCCAGGTCATAAGTCGAAATGGTCGTAAGTTGAAAATGCTTAAATAATACATAGAAAATCTAAACTGGTTGTCTCTTTTTCTTCTCAGCACCACAAAACTCTCACTTTTAAGCTTGCCAGCCATTTTAAAATGAATTATAAACAAAAATTTTGTCTGTGTATTGACGTTGGGACTCGAAAATATGTAATTTGACAAAATTTTGGTATGGCTGAGGCAGGTTGTAAGTGCGGGCGGTCATAAGTCGAGTAGGTCGTAAGTCGTGGAGGAGCTGTATTATAAATATAAAGGCTGGATTTATAACTACTGTACTGATGATGAAAACAGACTTAAGTTAGGAGAATGTAATTTTGCTTGCTAGAATTATTGCAAGATAGTGAATAATTTGAATGTAGACATTACACACTTCAAATAAGGGATAAGGGATTGTGGACTTGTATTACATTACAGTAGTGATTTATGAGTTCTGGTGTATATGTAAGTACAGTATATATAGTGATTTAAGGGCGATTTAGGGGATTTTTAGGAGTGTTTCTAATTTTAAGCATTTTTTTGGCTTTATGCGAGGTCCCAGGAACGTAACCCTCGTGTAAGTTGTGAGTCTACTGTACATAACTTTCTTCACTTAGTTTTACTGATATACATGCACACACCATCCTACATACATATTGTAAAAAAGGTAAAAGAAATAATTGTCTTAGGGGCAAATACATAAAGGGAATACGTACAGTAATATCTCCATTAGCCGGAATCCCTCAAACCCGGAACTCTCTGATAGCAGGAATTGAAACTTTCACGGAAAATCATTCCCAAAGGGAAAATTCCAGCTTTGGTAACAATTTCCAGATGGGTACATTTTCTGGAAAATTACGAGAAAATTTTCCCAGTAACTGGAAAATTCCGGTGATCGGGGAGTTTTTCCGGGTTTGAGAGATGAAAATCAGGCGCATTTTATGGAAATTCAGAGAAAAATTTTCTGGTACAGTTGGATCAGGATATATAGTGACTTTATACAGTATAATGATTTTATTGTATCGTGGCTACCAAAATTATAGACATTTTCCTATATATGGCGATTATTTTTTTTATTTCGCAGGGAAATCGGGCAGGAAATATTTCACATTTATCACGACTATCTAAATTATCGACGTTTTCCAATATATAGCGATAAGTTTATTTACAGTAGACACATAACTTACGTGGGGTTATGTTCCTGGGACCTCACATAAAGTCATAAAGGTATAAAGTCAGAAACACTCCTAAAATTCCCCTAAATCGCCCCAAAAATACGAATTGAAAAACTGTACAGTGCTTAAATGTACTCTAAAAGACCAAAAAAAAATTATCTCTTGTGTAAAATATATGATGTCTATATTCAAATTATTTGCTGTCTTGCAAGGATTCCAGCAATGCAGTTTATATTCTGCTAACTTTAGTCTGTGCCATTTTATATCAAGTTTAGTCACTTTTATTGGGCTCCAGAACCTAACCCTGTTTTCCCCATACATTACCGGTACATGTAATTATATATTGCGATTTAGTATACAGTGAACATCGTTGGACCCTATCTCGCGATATATCTCGACCGTACTGTACAGTATATTTATCTATTTCTGTCAGTATCTATTTTAATGTCTCTATGTCTGTATCACCCAATCTATCTGTCT